GTCCATTTGGATTTTCTAATTTTGAGGCATATAGACTTTTAAAGTATCTCCTGATGATTTTTTGGATTTCCTCAGTGTCTGTAGTTATGTCCCCCTTTTCATTTCTGATTTTGTTGATTTGGATGGTGTCTCTCTGCCTTTTCGTTAGCTTGGCTAAGAGTTTGTCTATCTTGTTGATTCTCTCAAAGAACCAGCTTTTGGTTTCATTGATTCTTTGAATTGTTTTATTTGTTTCTAATTGATTGATTTCAGCCCTGAGTTTGATTATTTACAGCCATCTTCTCCTTTTAGGTGTGTCTGCTTCTTCTTTTTCTAGGGTTTTTAAGTGAGCCATTAAGTTACTTGATTGAGCTGTCTCGAATTTCTTCTTGAAGGCACTTAGTGCTTTCCTCTTAGCACTGCTTTCATTGTGTCCCACAAGTTTGGGTATGTTGTGTCTTCATTTTCTTTGAGTTCTAGGAAGACTTTAATTTCTTTCTTTATTTCTTCCCTGACCCAGCTGTCATTTAGTAACAAGTTGTTCAGTTTCCATGAGTGTGTAGGCTTTTTGCTATTTCTGTTGTTTTGAGGTCCAGCTTTATTCCATGGTGATCAGACAAGATACAAGGGATTATTTCAATCTTCTTGTATCTGTTGAGGCTTGCTTTGTGACCAACTATATGGTCTATTTTGGAGAAGGTTCCATGAGGTGCTGAGAAGAAAGTAAATTCTTTTTTGTTTGGGTGTAAGTTTCTGTAAATGTCTGTCAGGTCCATTTGATTCATGACCTCTGTTAGAGACATTGTTTCTTTGTTTAATTTCTGTCTTTTTGACCTGTCCTTTGTTGAGAGTGGGGTATTGAAGTCTCCCACTATTAATGTGTGGGGATCTGGTTTAAGTTTTATCCATATTTCTTTTACAAATGTGGGTGCCCTTGTATTTGGGGCATAGATGTTCAGGATTGTGATGTCTTCTTGTTGGAAATTTCTCTTGATGAATATGAAGTGTCCTTCCCCACTTATTTTGATTAATTTTGGTTGAAAGTCTATTTTATCATATAGTAAACCAATATAAAGTAAGCCTATAGCCAACATCACACTGAACAGAGAGAGAATTAAAGCAATCCCACTGAAATCAGGGACAAGACAAGGCTGCCCACTCTCTCCATATCTCTTCAACATAGTTGTGGAAGTCCTTGCTAGAGCAATAAGACAGTCGAGGGAGATCAAGGGAATTCAAATTAGAAAGTAAGAAGTAAAATTATCACTCTTTGCAGATGATATGATAGTATACGTGAGTGACCCCAAAAACTCTACCAGGGAACTCCTACAGCTGATAAACACCTTCAGCAAAGTGACCGGATACAAAATTAACTCAAAAAAATCAGTAGCCCTCCTGTATACAAAAGAGAAATGGGATGAGAAAGAAATTAGGGAAACAACACCCTTCACAATAGCCACAAATGACATAAAGTACCTTGGAGTAATCCTAACCAACCCAACCAATCAACTAACCCTAACCAAATTTCAAGTCTCTGAAGAATGAATTAAAAGAAGATAACAGAAGATGGAAAGATCTCTCATGCTCATGGCTTGGCAGGATTAACATAGTAAATACGGCCATCTTACCAAAAGCAATCTACAGATTCAATGCAATTCCCATCAAATTACCAACACAATTCTTACAGACCTGAAAAGAAAAATTCTCAACTTCATATGGAATAACAAGAAACCCAGAATTGCTAAAACAATCCTCTACAATAAAAGATCTTCTGGAGGTATCTCCTTCCCTGATCTTAAGCTGTACTATAGATCAACAGTTATAAAAACTGCATGGTACTAGCATAGAAACAGAATGGTGGATCAATATAACCAAACAGAGGACCCAGAAATAAGCCCACACTCTTATGGACACCTGATCTTCAACAAAGATGCCAAAACCATACAATGGAGAAAAGATAGCATCTTCAACAAATGGTGCTGGTCTAACTAGATGTCTACATGTAGAAAAATGAAAATAGATCCATACTTATCACCCTGCACCAAACTAAGGTCCAAGTGGATCAAAAACTTCAACATAAAACCAGACATATTAAATCGGTTAGAAAAAAAAGTGGGAAATACCCTTGAACTCATTGGCACAGGAGACAAGTTTCTGAACAGAACACCAACACTACAGGCTCTAAGAACAACAATCACTAAATGGTACCTCATGAAACTGAAAATTTTCTGTAAAGCAAAGGACACCATTATAAAAACAAAATGATTGCTTACACATTGGGAAAGAATCTTCACCAACCCTTTATCTGACAGAGGACTAATATCCAGTATATATAAAGAACTAAAGAAATTGGAAAGCAGCAAATCAAGTAATCCAATTAAAATGGGGAACAGAGCTAAACAGAGAACTCTCTGTAGAGGTATATCGAATGGCAGAGAAACTCTTAAAGAAATGCTCAACCTCATTAGCCATTAGAGACATGCAAATCAAAACAACCCTGAGATTTCATCTTACACCCATCAGAATGGCCAAGATGAAAAACTCAAGTGACAACACATGCTGCAGATGTTGTGAAGAAAGGGGAACCCTCCTCCACTGCTGGTGGGAATGTAAACTTGTACAACCACTCTGGAAATCAATCTGGCACTTTCTCAGACAACTAAGAATAGTGCTTCCTCAAGATCCACCCATACCACTCATAGGCATATATTCAAAAAAGGCTCAAGTACACAATAAGGACATTTGCTCAACCATGTTTGTAGCAGCTTTATTTATAAGAGTCAGAAGCTGGAAACATCCCAGATGCCCCTCAACTGAAAAATGGATGCAGAAATTGTGGTACATCTACACAATGGAGTATTACTCAGCAATGAAAAATAAGGAAATCATGAAATTGCAGGTAAATGGTGGGACCTGGAAAGGATCATCCTGAGTGAGCTGTCCCAGAAGCAGAAAGACACACACAGTATATACTCACTCATATAGACATATAACATAGGATAAACCTACTAAAAATTGTACCTCTAAAGAAACTAATCAAGACAAAGGACACTGACTAAAACACTCAACCCCTATCCTGAAAGGCAAAGCTCTGCCAACAACTGCCTCCCAAGTGATGGGAATTCAAGATGTGCACACCGCACCAGGCTGAAATTATACTTTTGTTTAAGAACAACCTGTGTAGTGATCAGATTCTCCCCTTCAGCCCTAATCTCTGCAGTGTTTACCCATTTCTGTGAGAAGGGTTCTCTGGAAAGAATAGGTTAAGGAGTTTCCAGAAGCCAGGCAGATGTCTCTGAAGCAGGGAATATCAGACATCCAAGGAGTGTTCTGTAACTCACTCCCATAATGAGCCAGGATGTAGTCTGCCAGCTCTAGTTCTTAGGAAATCACAACTTTCAGTTTGGTACCTCAGCCTGTGCAGGACTATTGTTGGAAGGCACACAACTCAGGAAAGGCTGCTCCAGCATGCCAGGCTCCATCATGCATGGTACTTGGGTACCAGGAGCCTCCTGAGCAGGAGAAATGAGCTAGCCTCATGACATTGTTCAGTGGCCCAAGTTGCAAGGGTGTATTTCTATCTATTTAAATGACATGATCCATCAAGGATTCATCATGAATAATATATTTTGATCATATTTGGGTAGGTTATTTTATATAATGATGTTCTTGGGCTGTAGGAGAAAGGGCTAGTCTTTATAGTAGAACAGAGAACATACAGTTTCTAGATTTAATTATGAAATGTGTTTAATAGTGGAAACATTTTGTAGGCACAGATACTGTGTGACCCTCATGTTTTGAATTACAAGCAATGACTTCAGTGAAGAGATCAGTGTTGACTGTGGAGCACAGCTGAGGTAGTGGGAGGGAGCAGCTTGAAGGCTGAGATGGGGTGTTGCAACCAGGCCTGTGTCTTAACTGCCTTCCTCTCCCAGGTATGAAAAGCTGCACCTTCAAATGGAAATGGCCACAGCCCATGAGGAGAGCCTCCTGCAGAAAGAGCTGCTGCATCAGGAGCCACCTGCTGAGCCCCAGCCCCAGGAAAAACAGAATTCCTGGGATGAATTGTCTTATTCAGAATGGGTTCCTCTGTATGAACAGGCCCTAATTTTATCTAGCCAGTGAGCCAGCTAGTCTGCTTTGGCCTCTCATTCCCTTTTCTTTTCTGACAACACCCCTTGAGAAAACTGCTGTCTCCCTTGCCACTAAGTGTTCAAGATAAGCCACAGGCTGTGGCGCTGCCTTGCTAAATCTACACTGAGAGAAAACTGGTGAGCATAATTTTCTGTGTAAATTTTAGTTTTTTGTTTTGCTTTCTTCGTTATGGTTGTTATTTTGGCTGTTTTGGTTTTTGAATTTCTTATTTTGACTTATATATTCTTGTTATTGTTTTATAAAATTTGGTTAGATTACTCACTATTTTATTGACTACCCTATTAATAACTGTTTTTAAATGGAGCATTTTAGTCAGTGTCCTCTCTCTTGATTAGTTGTTGTGAACCAGCATGGGTTCTCAGAATCAAACCTGGGTTCTCTGCAAGTGCACCAAGTGCTCTCTAGTGCTGAGCCATGACTCCAGGCCGTCATAGTATCTTCTACAAATTTGAATCAATGAAAATAAAATGTAAAGACCTCCTTGCCATTCAGTTTATCATTTGGTAAAGACAAAAACAGAAAGCCCATTAGTTGTTCTACTATAACATGCACTCTACTTTCATGTCAGATATAATCCTCAGAATGATGACAGTCAATATATTAATGGCCACTGTTTATGTTCTTCGTATTGTCAAGGGCTCTTGAAGTCTTACATGCACCCTACAATCGATGTTGAGGGTGAGAGCACATTTCTGATGCTGGGAGGATTGCAAACCCTGGTTTAATCTCTGTCCACCAGGGGGTGGAGTTTCCTAGCACAAGATCATCATCTGTGTAAATTATAAGCTAAGCACGTTCAATGTTTGATGTCATTTCATCATTTGTTTGTGTGAAGAGTCAAGAACAGTAGCTGGGTGACCCTGAAGATGAACCCTTCTCCAGCTTTAGTGACTGTGATGCTGCTTGTGCTTGGTAAGTTACGTGACTTCAGATTTGCACTCTTTCTCCTATGATGTCAGAAAAATATTTGATCATCTATGAGGTTTATTGTTAATGTGACACAGATATTCTGTTCTTCCTCCAGGGAGGATCCATGGAGACTCAGTGACCCAGAAACAAGATCAAGTGACCCTCTCAGAAGACAGTGTTCTATTTATAAACTGCACTTATTCATCCACAGGGTACCCAACTCTTTTTTGGTATGTTCAATATTCTGGAGAAAGCCCCCAGCTCCTTTTGAAAGTTACAACAGCTGGTGAGAAGCGAAGCAGCAGAGGGTTTGAAGCCACATATGATAAAGGAACCACCTCCTTCCACTTGCAGAAATCCTCAGTGCAAGTGTCAGACTCGGCTGTGTACTACTGTGCTCTGGGTGACACAGTGACAGACACTGCAGGGGAAGCTGAGCACAAACCCCGAGAAGCAAAAGAAAGCCTGACTTCTGATCATCTGCCTTTTAGGTCACCCTTTTCTAGACAGTCTGTGTTGTGTGTCCCAACCTTTCTCTGGTTGATGATAGTTGTACAAATGATCAGAGAAGACCAAGTGGGAGATGTTATCACAGCTGAATTTTCATCAGGGACATCAGTGGTTCCTCATGGAGGGTCACATTGATTTCACAAAAAAGCTATGGATACAGTGAAGTGGTCAGTTGTCTTCATCTTCACATATAGGTCATTTTCTTCATATTGTTGCATGTCACCTCCAGCCCAAGTTATTCACACAGGGCAACAAATGCCAGGAAAGGTGTCATCTAGATAATGTCTATCTAATACATTGGAAGGACAGGTTATCAGAGGAACACAGCCTTTCCATACCTTAAGATTTGTAATAAAGATACATAGGTAGAAAAGACAGGAGAAAGGAAGCCAGAGTGGGTAGGTGATCTTCAGATTTTCAATATCCCCCTCCCCTCTAAATCCAACCCCCAGTCTCATTCTCAGCCCTGTAGTAGACTGTCTGCAGTTCCCATTTCCAGAGCACTGGACTGATCCTGGTGTGACTCCCTGATTTCTTCCCTACCATGGATTGCCTCACCCTACACCTCTTTTTAGCCCACCCTTATGCCTAAGTATCAGAACCCAATTGGAAAGAAGCAAATTCTGTCTGGAATCCAGTGTCCACATGTGGCAGGATCTCTGAAGCATTCCCTAGCAGGCCATCCAGAGCCACCACACTCTTCTCAGAACCAAGGAGAACAATAGAAACCAAGGAAGAGAGCACACATCTGACAAAGGCAAGAACACACACCAGCACAGAGAATTACAATGATCTCAAACCCAGATGCCTAGATTCCAGCATCAAATATTAACATCCAGGATGATATGTCTTCATTAAAGCCCAGAAACCCTCCTCCAGTAGTCCCAAGAAACACAATATGGCTGATGCACAAGACAAGGATTTCAAATTAGCCTTTATGAATATGTTAGAGGTCTTGAAAGAAAAAGTGAATACATTCATTAAAGAAATCACTGAGCCAAAAATCTGGAGTAAGGCAGGCCTGAAGAGACTGATGAGTCAACCAAGGACCATGTGTACCCACCTGCGGGACTAGTAATTCATGGGGTCTTCGAAGAGGACCAGGCCTGAAAGAAAAATGGGCGAGAGAGAAGAATGGACTCCAGCAAATGTGCACTTGTCAAGAGTCAAATTTTATTGAACCGGAGCAAGCTTTTAAGGCCAACCTTAGATAGGGGTGGGGCAAGGGAGGAGCACAGTGTAGAATCCTTTTTACTCAGGGAGGGGTAGGGTAGAAAAGCACACTGTAGAATCTTCTTACTCAGGAAGGGGCAGGGTGGAAGTTACAAAATCTTCTTGGCCAGGGGCCTGGAACACTTTGCGGTTATTTTGAGACAGTTAGCACATTTCTGCAACTGTCAAGCAGGATGTTGGTCAACCAGGTGCAGCAGGGTGGGGGAATGAGAAAAGGTCAGAAGTTTCTCAGGGCTTGTCTCCAACATCTCCCCCTTCTCTGTATACAAGAACAGGGATAGGGAGGTTACCGTGACCCGCTAATGGTGTCCCAAAGAAGGGCTCATTTTGGCAGCCAATTATTTTTGTTTAAGAGTAAAATTTTGGATCCAAAGGAGCAAACCGTCACCAGAGAGGTGAGCATTCCCCAGAGTAGGTAAGCGTTGTCACTCATAGGTCATTGGTCTTGACAAGGCCATTTAGATTGACCACAGTACGAGGGGCACAAACGGGGTCTGAGCCTGTTGGAAGGACAGTGCTGGACCCTTACCTGTCATTGGATCGGCCTCCTCCCAGCAAGGTCGTCCTGTCTTAGGCGGGCCAAGACTTATCCACCCGTTCCATCTCTGACTTACCAGACTACTCACTTTGTGGAAATGTAAAGCATCTTGCTCTCAATAAGACCATCAAAGCTCCATAAGGATCCTGGAAGGAATATGTTTAGTAGCCAAATAGTATAAGAGGGGTCACGGAAACCTGAGTTATTATTTGGAGGGGCGGGACCAGAATTTCCACCCCCGGGTTGATTTTTGTAGGGAGGTGAAGTCTAAGGGTCGAGATGTGGGGTTGTTTTGGTCCTTTGGCAGGTCAACAGTAGACTCCTCTTCCATGGCTAGGTGATGGTAATGGACTCCCACCGGCTTGATTGCAGAATCCACCTGATCCTTAACAAAGCTTGTCAATCGATTGAAGGCCCAGGGGCCAAAAGAGAGAAGCAAAGGATACCTACAAAAGGTCCTAGCAGACTGGGAAGCAGAGTGGTTAGCCATGGGGATGTGGGAAAACAATTTTGATACCAGGACTCTTGTTTCTCTCTGTTCCATTTTCGTTCCTCCAAACTGGAGCAAACCTTATCGATACTGCTTTGCACTAAACCTGTTTTGTCAGTGTAAAAGCAGCATTCTTCCTTGAGCGCAGCGCAGAGTCCGCCTTCCTGGAGAAAAACCAAATCTAGACCGCACCTGTTTTGTAAAACTACCTCAGATAAGGACACCATAGAATCTTTTAGGTCCTGTAAGCCTTTTTGCAAATCTTGTAGGTCTTTGTCCACTGCTAGGGAGAGTTGATTAAATTGTTGCTGGGAGGTAATTAGGGAGGCTATGCCTGTACCAGCTCCAGAGGCTCCAAGCCCTAGAATTACAGTTAGAGTAATGGCAGTTAAGGGCTCATGTTTAACTCCAGATGGACGTACCCCTTTTTCCCAAAACCAAAGGAACTCATCCTTAGAATGTATAGTCAGCCTTAGGAAAAGCCGTATAAGGACACAGTAATCTCTATGGACTAAAAGGGTGGAACTTACAAGATTAGGAGTAAGACCAGTGGAGCAGGCAAAATAAGTGCCATTAGGTGCAGCAATATATGTAAAGCTTGAATTTACAAGAGTAATATTGCAAATTTCTTGTAAAGCCACTGGGGGAAGATAGAAGGTCCCAATAGGCACGTTCCAATTCCGGACACCTGTGTGACTGTAAGGCTGACTCCCTCTGGGTGCTGCCACTGTAAGGCATTACAATTATTAGTTGTAATTACTTCTAAGGGTAAGGCTATGCCCTCGTAGAAGGGTGGCCGTGGTTAGTAACACACCCAGCATTCCTGAAAATCAGTGGCGTTAATTTGATGCATGGCCTCTTCATTGAAGGGCAGAAGCGGAAGGAATGTAATTGCCTTTGGCAGGGTTACTAGGTGACTAGAAATCACAGGATAGCCCACCAAGATGTGTTAATAATGGTAATTTGGAAAGTTCCTCAGAAGAGTTACTTAGGAAGCCCTGAGGGAGATTAGGATTTAAAGTATTTCAGAAGGATGATCTTATCGAAAGCTTCAGGTCAGCCAGGAATGCACTATTGTATCTGGGCAGTAGTCCGGTCAAGCCAGATGCCAAAATTTAGGGGGCAGCAAGGTGCCAGAAGGTCCTCTTTTATTTTATTTTTACAAGATCATAATCCCAAGGGAACCGTGCCTGTCTTAGGTGGGAATCTGGGGTCTTCAACCCTTGTTAATTAAAGTGTTAATTAAAACCTCACAGTACTTTTCCAGAGTACGGAAGAATGTAGCTGCCCCGGACCCTGGTCCTCTGCTCGGGCAGAGATAAGGAAGTGAGCAAGCAAAGACCTCCACTCTGCAAAGAAGAAAGACCAGATCTACGCTTGAGAGATAACATCACCTAGCAATCAACCCAAATGGACTCAATTCTTCTCCTGAAGAGCCCCTGACCTTCTCTCAGGCTCGCTCCTCAGAGAAGACACAGGTTGAAGCTAATTGCTCTTCCATCTTTGGCTGTAGCCACATCCCCACAAGCAGGAGATTCTGAACGTGAATTAAAGATCAGATATTTCTCAGGTGTCTGACCAGGACTGACCATACCTGAAAGTCAGCTACCTAATCCCTCATCCAATTATGAGTAGCCAGGACGGCAACCCCTGAACTTCCCTGTTCCTCATCTCCTAACAACCTGAGGCTTATGTCTCTGGGGGCCCACTCTTAAAATTTTGAAAACATATTTCCAACATAGCCAGGGCCATTATCTGTTTTAAGTTGTGTTGGAAGTTTTAATATAGCAATTGCTGACAGCATATGAGCAATAACATTTTTTTTTCAGCTTTACCAGTTTGGAGTGTGGAAAATATAAACCCACTATAAGTGTCAACAAAAACATGAACATATTTTAAATTACCAAATTTAGGAATATGTGTAACATCCACTTGCCAAATAACATTAGGTACAAGGCCACAGGGATTGACCCCAAGATGGGAAGTAGGCAAAAGGACAACACAAGAAGGACATTGTTTAAACAAGTCAGCTTTATAATTACCTTAGTTAAAGGTCCTGGAAGGTTAGAATGAACTTGCAAATGTCCAATGTAAAAGGAAAAGGTTTTTTTTGTATCAAATTTTGAATTTGTAAAAAATAAAATTTTAGCAGGAGAAGATGTCTAAATTTAATTTGCAATCTCTAACCTAGGTAAAGACTAAGCTACATAGGCACTATCTGTAAGAATGTTTAAAGACGGTTTATTAAAACTTTAAAACACAGCCAATACTGCAGGTAACTCTGTTATTTGCACAGATGTGCTAGATACTTGAAAAGATGCATCAACAGGTTGGACTTTGTCATAATAAGCTTACATATGTTAAAATGCCATATTTATTAGATTTCTGACAAGCCTGAAGGCCAGCATATTTGAGTTACTCTTTGTTTATCTTTATCATCTGCTCTAACCTGCATCCTATAAAACAGGATGCCATAATTTTTAATTTTGGTATATTTTTGATGCATGTTTTATAACCAAATTTTAAGTAAATCTATATAGTCAGATTTTATGGTTACCCATTTTAGATTTAACCTTTTTTTTTAAACAGAACAACAACTTAAACAAAGAGACTAAGTAAAGCTCAGTCTTATACTTAACTAAAGTATATACTAAAGTATATAACTAAAGATATACTAAAGTTATCTTTAGCATAACTTTAAATCTGCTCTTTTTAAACTAAAATCAAAGCAAAATTTTTAATCAGACATAGTTTATAAAGGGGCTAGCAAATCTTATTAATTCTACTATTTTGCATTAAGACAATAGCAAAAAAATTAAAGGACAAAAGTCTCATTTAGCATTAAACAGAGAACTAAAATCAGCTTATAGCCCTCAGCAAAAATAGAATATTTTGGCCATATCAAATCTATAGGCCAGAAAGAAACTGCATTAATTTATTTATTTAGGCACTGGCAGCCAGGCATATATTTTATATAATGGTTAACAATGATTTGAAAATAACCCTGCATAACCCTGGACTAACATGGAAATGCAGTTCCTTTTTCCCTTTAAAAAACTGCAAGCAAACATTTTGCATTAAAGAATCTCCAACCTTTTTAAATGAAGAACAACATATTTTATAGTTCTTTTTCAAATCATATTAACTCTCTGGCTTTTTAATAACACATCCACTAACCTTCTGCAACATCGTATATACCTTCAGGTTCCTAGCTTTCTTTTTCTGGCTTAACTAGACATTCTTACTTTCTTGCTCTCTCTCTCTTGCTTTTCAGACAACACAAAAACTCTCATCAAAATCCCTTCCATCCTAACATGATCCTGCTGGAGCCCAGTGTCTACGATTTGCTTTTTAAAGGCAAAGCAAAAACAAGTTACATTATTACACAAATTTCTGAAACTGCCAATTTTTTCTATAAACAAAGCAGCTCAACAAACAAACAGCTCTCTACAAGATACATTTTAAAAACTGCGATTTTCTCAATTAGCACAAACAATACGGCAGGGTTTCATTTAGTAAAATTGATAAAATAAACACCCAAAATCATTGTCATACCCAAATGCCTGATAAACTTTAAACATTTTATAGCCTTAAACATTTAAACATTTTTTAAAACCCGTTTTTGCAATATCAAAACAAGGTACCCCTTTTGTAGGAGAGAAGTCACAAGGCATAACCCTAATCCTAACAAAACCAGATTTTAAAACCAGAATTTACCAATGTAAACAACTTAATTTTCAAAACCAATGCCAATTTAAAATAAATCATTCTTTTAACCTAGAAGGAAATGAGAATTATTTTTAAGCATACCAAGATGGCGGTTAAATTATAACCCATATGATAAAGTAGAACATAAAACAGAAGGTAGACACAAGCAAATACTGCACAGAGACATTGAGACAAAACAAAAAAACAAAAAAAAACAAAAAAACATTAACCATCTGGCCAAATTTATTGAAAATACTGATGAAGTTAGGGGTGTCCCCCTGAACTTCGGCAGCTGTGACCACCTCGATCACGTCTTGCTACCCAGACACAGGCACCTCGAGCTCTGAAGAATTTTTAGAACAGAGAACAGAAGGTACTACACGCACAAACATTGCACAGAAACATTTAGACACTTACAGCCGCACACAAAAACAAAACACAGAAACAAAGACAAAAAACAACCGCGGTACCTGCTTTTTAAACATTTAAATATATATACAGAGCATAACCATGATTTTAAGTCAGAACTAGAAAAATTCAGAATTAATCAGTGAACACAATTTAATCTTTAAAACTAGAAGTGGCTCCATCTTTCTGGTTTCTGTTCGAGAGCTGGCTGAAGCTGACACTGGCTGAAGCCGGTGGGAGGGGGCAGAGTAAATTGCAGTACTGCTAAGCTCTGCAGCTGGCAGAGGCAGGTCTTAGGCCTCTGAGGGTTTGGGCGTTCACATCCACCCAGTTCTCTGCAAGCCTGGCCCTCGGTAGGGGAATGGGAAGGAGACAAGTAGAGTCCCCATTCCTCCTGCTCACCATGCTCCGGCTCCGGCTCTGGCTCCGATCCATGCCCTTTGCCCCAGCCCACCTAGGGGCCTTTTTTGTTTTAGGCGGAAGGGAAGCGGCGCAAAGGAAGTAGGCTATGAGACTTAGCAGTTTCTTCCCCTGACTCTGTTTTATTCTCACTTTGTAATGAGTTGAGGTCTATCTCTTCTTTAGGAGGCTTTTTGGTACCAGCTCTTTTTCCTGTACTATCTCTTAACATTTGCTTGCACTGCCAAGTGTAGGTGGCCAATCAGGGTTATGGTACCTGGAAGCCTCTTCTTTCAAATCACTCTCCTCTGAGGGGTCTAATTGGTCAGGGCCTTCTTTGGGAAAAACTTTGGGAAAAACGGGGAAAGCTAGGGAATTAACAGTAATAACGGGGGACAATTATTATCTTTATCTCGACCTCTTTCTCTAAGGTCCTCGAGAGGGCAGGCTTCAACCTGATCCCACTTTTTGGCATATCTCTGGCCCATTAATAACAAACCATGGACAAATGTCCGACACAAAAACAAAGAACTTAATTAAGTCCTTTTTCTTAACTCTAATTCACCTCTCCCTGAGCGCAACTGTTGGCCCATTTTTATGGGATGGAGAAAGACTTACCCGACGTATCTTTTTCCTTTGAGTGGCAGGAACATACGTCTTTACGAGTCACAAGCAGCCAATCTTACTTTCGATTCGTCGCGGCGTTTTCTGAGCCATCCGGATCCATCCATGCAAACCTCCATCCGGCAGTGGTCCATGCTTCGGCCCCACGTTGGGCGCCACTTGTACCCGCTGCGGGACTAGTAATTCATGGGGTCTTCGAAGAGGACCAGGCCTGAAAGAAAAATGGGCGAGAGAGAAGAACGGACTCCAGCAAATGTGCACTTGTCAAGAGTCAAATTTTATTGAACCGGAGCAGGCTTTTAAGGCCAACCTTAGATAGGGGTGGGGCGAGGGAGGAGCACAGTGTAGAATCCTTTTTACTCAGGGAGGGGTAGGTTAGAAAAGCACATTGTAGAGCTTCTGAACTCAGGGAGGGGCAGGGTGGAAGTTACAAAATCTTCTTGGCCCAGGGCCTGGAACACTTTGCAGTTATTTTGGGAAGTCATGGTACAGTTAGCACATTTCTGCAACTGTCAAGCAGGATGTTGGTCAACCAGGTGCAGCAGGGTGGGGGGAATGAGAAAAGGTCAGAAGTTTCTCAGGGCTTGTCTCCAACAACCATGCATGGAACAGACCTAAACCCTGCTCAGATGTAGTCCATGGGCAGCTCATTCTCCATTGGGGTTCCCTAGTAAGGGGAGCAGAGGCAGTCACTGGCATAAACTCAGTTGTCTGCTCTTTGATCACCTCTCCCTGGTGAGGTGGCCTTACTAGGCCACACAGAGAGAGGATCCAGACAGTTCTGATGACACCTGATAGGCTAGTGTCAGATAGTAGGGGAGAAGGACCTCCTACCAGTAGACTAGGAAAGGGAAATGGTGAGGGAAAGAGTGAGGGAGGGTAGTATTTGGGGGAGATGAGGGAGGGGATACAAAGTGAATAAATTTTAATTAATAGTAATAATAATAATAAAAATGGCAAAAAAGAAATTAACAGAAACACAAACAGTGGCATGAAATGAAGAGCACAGTTCAACATTTTCCAGTTGAAATAGAATCAAAGAAAACAGAAATAGGGAGAGAACTGGAAGAGAAGGATTTAGGAACTCAAAACATAGGCTCCCAGGATTCGTCCCCATCCCACCGATGCCCTCACCATAATTTTGGTCTCAATTTTTCAGTCTCTATTTTTTGTCTCACATCCAGCTCTCCCCTGTTTTTCCTCAGGGTTCATTCTTACTCTCACTCTCACTAGCAATGGAGGAGTGTTTCCCTTACTCCTCATTCTCTCCAGCATGTGTTGTATCTAGTGTTTTTGATCTTAGCCATGTGACAGATGTAAGATAAAATTTCATAGTTGTTTTGATTTGCATTTCCCTGATGACAAATGACATTGTACATTTCTTGAAGTGTTTCTTGGGCATTAGAGATCTTCTGTTAAGAATTTTCTTTTTAGCATTGTATCCCATTTTTAATTGGATTATTTGGTTTATAGTGTTTAATTTCTTGAGTCTTCATACATATTGGTTATTAGCCCTATGTTGGATGTAGGGTTGAAGATCGTTTATTTTCATTCTGTTTGCTGCCGTTTTGTTCTATTAACAGTATCCTTTGCCTTACAGAAACTTTTCAGTTCCATGAAGTCTCATTTATTAATTGTTGATCTTAGTGCTTGAGCTGTTGGTGTTCTGTTTAGGAAGTTGTCTCTTGTACCAATGGGTTCAACACTATTTTTCATTTTCTCTGCTAGCAGGTTTAGTGTATCCAGTTTTATGTTGAGGTCTTTGAATCACTTGGACTTGAATTTTGTACATGGTGATAAATATGGATCTATTTGCATTTTTCTACATGCAGACATCCAGTTAGGCCAGCCCCGTGTGTTGAAGATACTTTCTTTATTCCATTGTATGTTTTTGGCTCCTTTGTCAAAAACCAACTGTCCTGAAAATACACTAATCACTATCAAATGACCAAAACATGTGTTGATCCTACTGCCTTCCTGCCTCCACAGATCTTTACTCTGCTGGCTGTGGAGCTCTCACAGACTCCTGCAGGACAGTTGTTTCCTGACTTGTTCTATGTGGACCCAGTTCAGCTCTGGCACAGACATTCCCCTGGTACAGATGGCTTTATGTCTATGTTAGGAATGGAGAGTGGGAGAAAGTAGAAGTGTTAGGGAAGAAGAGAAATAAGGAAGAAAGGGGAGGAGTGGAGAGGAGAGGCAGAGTCAGAAAGAGGAAAGGGAAGAGAAACCAGATCTACAACTTTCATGATCAATCCCTCCTCAACAGGACTTTATTCAAGAAGAGAGAATAAAAAATTAGACAAATGAACAAGTTCCCTGAGTTTTATTTATTGTTGAGTTGCTAAACACAGTTCCATCTTTTCTGCGTCAAGCACACAAGCATGCTCCTGGCTCCAAATAAAATGAATAATTCCAGACGTTTCTAGACTCTACCCTAGATAAGCAGTCTGTCCAGGCCATCTGTAAAGCTTATAGAAGTATTTGAATGGAAGTGACAAGGGTTAGATTTATGCTGTGTGAAAAAGCCTCACTCAGATTTCTGTGGCTGGCATGTCTAGGTGGTTTTCAAATGGAGGGGGCTGCCTGTGTGTGGCACTTATTATTACTGAGAAAAAAGACATCTGCAGAGTATATATATACACACACACACACACAATCTCACTCCCCACCAGGACTCAAGGCAAATGTTTCTTTAAAATGCCAATTGAACCTTCAAGTACTTTACTTTTTAATAACTACAGTTTTACAGTTTGATTATTTCTTTGGTCACTATCATGAGTCCACAAGATGGCAGTGTCTTCTTTGGGTGGGAGAGAAGGGGAAAGAGGGGAGGGAAGGAAGTAGAGAGAGGGGTGGAGAAAGGGCTGGAGGAAAGGCTTGGTGGTGCAGAGGAGGTGAAGAGAGTCCCTTTTCTCATTGCTAGCAAAGGGGCTTTTCATGTTTCCTGAAGCAGGAGATGTGGAAACTTTTGAACATGACCATATGAGTTTAGAGTTGAGGATATGAATCCTAAGTGAAGAGGGAGGAGAGATGAAATACTTAAGTGTTTCACTAGTGGTCCTGTGGCTTCATTTAAGCTGTAAGTCTGGGAATTTCTTTGGGATCCAGGTGTGGAATATAAAGCTGTTGTCTGCTCCAGGTTAAAGATAGAACAACAGATGTTTTTAATCTCCAGTTAGGGGTGGGCAGGCTACTGAAAAAGCATTCTGCTGTGTTAGTATCCATATGCCTCCATTCCTGTTTCTCTGACCTTTGTCTTTCTGCACAGGGTTGAGCAGCCAGCCGAAGGTGCAGCAGAACCCAGAATCCCTCAGTGTCACAGAGGGAGCCATGGCCTCTCTCAATTGCACTTCTAGTGATCGTAATTCTCAGTACTTTTGGTGGTACAGACAGCATTCTGGGCAAGGTCCCAAGGCCTGGTGTCCATCTTCTCTAATGGTGACAAGGAAGAAGGCAGATTCACAGCTCACCTCAATAAAGCCAGCCTACACGTTTCCCTGCACATCAGAGACTCCCAGCCCAGTGACTCTGCTGTCTACCTCTGTGCAGTGAGCACACGGTGTTCCCCAGGCACCTGCAGCCTGCACACAAACATACTGGGCCACAGAATGCCTTATAGAGAGCTCAGACCACACAGTGGAGAAATTCTGTTTCTATTCTATATGCAATGGGAATTAATAGCAAGAGCAGCAAGGGCTTTATTGACAGGAAAGTGATTATAATATTTTGAAATCAAGTAATCTTGAAGGGAAAGGCAAATTATTTGGTTAAAATATTTTTCACATGTTGATTGTTGTACAACAATGTGC